ACAGGGGAGCCCAGGTAAGAAGGCAACAGCAGGCCCGGCTTTTCACGTTCAGGCTGCAGGCCAGCCCGCTCGGCCCACGAGCAAAGGACGTCACGCAGGGCATGGTGTCTCAGGGTTCTCTCGCCACCCGCAGAGCAGAGGCCAGCATGGTACGAGAACCTGTCCAGGACACAGTCACATCTTGGGCACCAAGCATCCAGCACAGCGTCCGGCAGGCCAAGCCGTTGACGTAGCTCCGCCACAAACACTCCCGCCTCCATCCGCTTTCGCCCGTTGGGTACCGCTGCCAGGAAGGCCCGGGCACCAGGCTCAGCCTCTGACCTTAGTACTGCTTGCGCTGCCGTAGTGCCAGCAGCCAAACGCCGTTCCCAGCTGTTGTTGTCCAGGCCTGCAGTCAACGGCTTCTGTTTCAGCATGAGGGCTGTGGGGGCAGTAAGGGGCGCAGCAGCATGCCGGTTGAGCTCGGCCAAAGCCTGCTGCACGTCAGGCCTGGTGGGGACTGCCGCAGTAGAGAAGTGCCCGTCTACCTGACTACATAAGTCCATGCATCCACCAACTGAACCGAGGTATGCTGCAGGAGCGTCCAAAACGGTAGACCGCAAGCCAAGACCTCCAAGGGCGAACCCAAGCCCAGCCTGCTCCCACTGGCCGGTATCGAGGTGGAGGCCAGTTAAACTGCTGAAGCAACTGCGCACCAGTTGGTCAAACTCGCGGAAACCCTCCATCTGGAACTCAGGCGGCGCACACCGCATGCTGTGCACGAGGCGGCAGTGTCCCGCACAAGCACGGAGAAGCCGGAGGCCAACCTGCGGGTCGTCTAGCTCACCAAGAGCCTCAAGCAAGGCCTTAGCGCCCGCAACTCGGGTCAGGGCGTGCGGCTTAGTCGAAGCCAAGTCACCAACGGGGGCTCCCAGTAGCTCGAAGTTGCGGAGGACTTTGCTGCTACCGTCTAGTTCTCGAAGAAGTTCACCCGGGAAGTGGGCCACGAGGTCGCCCAGTGAGACGTCTCCGACTGCCACCACCTCACACTTCCGCAGGTTCAGCCGCAAGCCCAACGTCGCTGCTTGTCTTTGCGTTTGCGTCAGAGCAGCCGCCACGGCTGGAACATCACCAGCCAGCACCCCGTCATCGAGGTAGAAGAGCCCAAGGTCCAGGCCACTGAAGCGCGGCGGCCATGGGCCGCAAAAAGCAGAGGGCCGAGCGGATCGCCCTGCTGGACTCCCGTTGCTGACGGGATAGCTGCATCTCCAAACTGAAGAATGGTGGGCCGCCCATAGGTCCAGGCAACCCAGCGGGCCAAGGCAGGGAAGTGGTCCCTGGCAACGTTCAACACTGCTTGAATGCGTTCTCAAAGTCTAACTTGACGAGGACCTTGCGTCCTCCAAGCCTGTGCCTGTCCACCCAAGCCCGGACAGTGTGGACAGCAACTTCAGCTCCGCCCGGGACAGCAACTCCAAGCTGAGTAGGGAAGAGGTGCTCCCGCGCAGCTTCCCGCACGTGTGCCATGAGGCACTTGCCGGTGAGGCGGCGTAGGACCTCGCATATTGCTATCGGCCTCACGCCTCCCTTAGGCTTGGGGACAGCCACCAGCCCAGCTCCAGCCAAAGCGCAAGCAGCCGCAGGACAAGCCTGGCCCTGAGCAAGGAGGCTAAGCACAGCAGCCAGCTGCTCAAGTAGGCTACCGGCAGAGCCCGGAGCGCAGGCCTCCCGAAGGTGTTGGACACGCAAACCTGAAGGCCCCGCTGCGGAAGCAGCAGGGAAACTGCGAAGTGCCTTAGCAGCTCGGGCGCTGGAGGCAACTCATGCATCGCCGGCACGGCAGGTTCAGCAGCCTGAGGATGAAGGGCCCGAACAGCCGCAGTGGTTTCCGCGTTCTCGGGCACAAGCCCCGTAGCCAGTAGGGCCGTGCAGGCCTTGCTCTCGAACCCTTCCCTTGCCAGGCCCTTGGCAAGCTCCTCGCACTCAGCTTTGTTAAGGGGTCGGCGCCTGCCGCGCTGGGGTTGCTGCCGAGTTTGCCAAAGCAGCAGCCGCTCTCCATCTTCCCATTGTCGCAAGCGGTCCAAGTACGCATTGAGGAAGCATGAGCAGCTCGCGCCACGAGGCCTCATCATTGTGGTGGGTGACAGCTGCCAAAGCGCGGGTCAGCACCCGAGCCACCAGTTGCGCAGGAGTGCGCCCTGCCAATATCTCCTCAAAGGTCGGGAGCTGCATGGCCCATCTCACGAGGCGCCGCGGGAGCAGCCAAGGCCTTGCGGGCGGCCGGGCGGCACGAGGGGTGAACCCCGTGCTGCAAGGACACACTGAGCCCGCACATCATGCAGCGTTGGCGGTCCCGAGCCTGCAGCCAGGCAGCCGG